CTTTAAGGAGGGTCAACACAAATAATAATTTTGGGTCTAACTTCGTCTAATGTTCCATTGCCTAAATCTTAAATACATTTGCATTCTTCTACTAACTCTCTCGTTAACTCTTTTTTTTTGTCCATTACAGTGTTTTCATTCTCTTCTCTCTTGCTGATGTCCATTGTGAGCTCCCTGGTGTCTCTGCTGGCTTTGTAGCAGCTTCATCTCATCTCCAATCTGACCCCCATACCCATATCTTATGTATCCAGTATTTCAGTGATTCGACTTCATATCGTTCTGCCAAATCGAAATCTACAACATGCTTAAGCAATAGCGGTGCATTTGATCTGTGATTAAAAAAGTACATAGTACACACTTACCGTTGATAAGATTTAGTAGGTGTAGGGATTTATTTTATTATTATTATTATTATTTTATTTTTTTATGGGAAACCAGAAGAGTTGGTTGAAGTATTTCTTTGAGCCAAAGATTAAACCAGAACTGGTTCATTATTAAGACCAATATTGTATTATTCATTTACTCCGCATTGGCTGAAGGCAATAGCCATATCAGTGCATATGCTTTGCCTGTTACATATTTATTGCACAATGTTTATTGGAGCTTTTAGAACCAGCATTTTATTGTTATGAGCTACTTGAAGGCACCATATCAGAGAATATGCTGTGTCTGGGATTTTCCTCTTTGATGATATATTAGAACAGCCATTATCCCAACAGACGCACTGGAGCTTTACTACTGAATGGATTGAAAGGTTATCAACCTCTTCTGTTTTAGCTAAACAAAGCAGAACAAAGATAGTTTTCTCTATTATCAATTGTTCTGTTCTCAGATGATACAACTAATACTTTAGTAAATGGGGAGAAATGCACTACATCTCTAGTGCCAGTTGGAAAACTTGTCCAGATGTAATAATTACAGATGTATTACTTCTGCATTTGGTTTGTATTGCAAAGCAATTTTTTTAATTCCATTGACTGAACAATCTGCTCAAACTGTGTCCTTTTGATTTGAAGATTGAAATTTGATTTCCTTTCTTTGTCATTGTAACTTCCAACCCTTCCAAAAATCCAAGGGAGGTGATTTCAGACAATGTGGGATACTGTAACAAAAAAATAACAAAATTAAATTCCGAGCGAATTTTTCTAGGATTATTTAGTCCAAACGATTGTACATGTTGCATCAATTCTCACTGGACTAGATTACAGATGTAATTATATATAAATTGTGCTTTCTGCTTGCTTTTTCACAATAATGTGTGCTTTTGATATCTGTTTCGTACACTTTAAAAAGCCATTAGGTAAAAAAAGTGAATGAAATCGTTACTAAAAAAACAACAAGTTAACTTTTTTTAAAAGAAGTAAACCTGTTGTACACAAAAAAATGGCATTTGCTGTTTTTTCAAATTTAAATTAAGCTGAAACAACACAATTCTTGAGTTTTTTGGGGTCAACTTGATTGATTTATGTTCAGTCTACTTAAATTTGTGAAAAAAGTAATGTTAACTTTATTTCTTCATGTTTTGCCAACCCAAATCAATTGTGTGGACCCCGCATTTTTTACAGTGTGACTTGGAATTGTAAAGTTTAATTTTTAAAATCATCACATTTGTTTACTTCATTTTATTCACTTTTTTAAGTAAAGTAAACTAATAAATTTCAAAGCAATGGGTTTACTCACTTTTTAAGTAGTTAACTAATCACTTTTTACTGTGTACTATCACTTTTTTTGCTTTGTGATTTAATTTGTCTCTTTAAGAGATTTATTTTTATGTGTTGTTCAGATCCCATATCAGTGTGCTGACGTGTGAATGTCCCATTAATGTCTGCTTTGGTTGCGATTTCTTAATGAAATGATTGAGATATAACTAATATTTAGTTGCCAGGCCAGTGAGTCTGCTCAAGTATTACAACATACTGTCTCTTATTTTAAATAAACAAGCATCATAAAATGTGGGCTGTTGTTTATCATTGTTTATTTTTTAATATGAAAAAGGAGGGTTGTTTTTTTAGTGACTTGCTTTACAGTTTATATGAATCTCTGCAAGATTTCATTTTAGTCCAGATCCTGTGTTATAATATGAGTTAAAGTTGCTCCTGTATGTGGTCAATATTTTGTGTAACAATGTACTCCTGCGTAAAAGCCACATTTACGCCTCTTAGGATATACTCTAACCCCTAGAGTCAAAGTATATAGTTATAATAGTTGTATAATACATTTATGACACCTCTGAAAAGCACTTACACATTAACGTTATCTAAGACACACATCTGCACCACATTTATAAAGTGAATTTGGCATTAAGACACAAATAAGCTACACATGGCCAATTCTTAGGCATTTAGATATTGTTGACATTTATGTGTCTACGGACTATTTAAAGTACAGGGTGATTCAAAAAGTATACCACAACTTTGAAAATCGAGAACTCTGCAAAGAGAGGGAGAGCTCTTTATTCCATCAATTTAAGGAAGTTCTAAAGTTTAAGTACTCTTCACATTGATTAATACCCCAAGTTTCCAACCTGTTTCTTTGATTAAACACTGATTTTTAAAGTTGTGGTATTCCTTTTGAATCGCTCTGTATGTTTATGTCATATATTAACACCGAACATACAGGTAGCTTTTGAAGAGTGCATTAATCTACAAACATAATATTTCTACTCATTAATTACAGCAAAAATAAACACTGTATTATAGACATGTGATTGATACAAGTGATTACAGTTTTTCTCAGTCGCTTTGGTGCATTTCTCACTACACTATTTACATTTGCACAACAGTTAATGCATTTCTCAAAACAATTAGTCATTTGTGCACATCCTAGTAGCAGTTTCTCATTCCTTCTAACAAATTGCAAATGCTTTTGGAAAAGCATCAATTGCTTTCATACATCTCTCTGCTATTTATAACATTATCATTTGCTTATGTCATGTCAGTCAAAATTAACTAAACTTGTCAAAGCTGAATAATCATTCCGTATAAAATTAATAGTCCTCATTTTATTATTTGAGTCATAACATACAAAAATGTTGAACTACTTGTCAATATCTGTTGAGCAAATTTTATAAAAAAAAAACAAAAAAAAACTTTTTTTCCCCTTGAAAATATCTTAAAAATTTATCAATTTGATGAATGGTTTACAGACTTGTGTAGGTTCAGTTCTGATATGTACTGCAATATCGTATACAGTTGTGCATAGCTCTACCCAAAGAAAATTTATGTTTGTTCTAAATAACGGGGCATTTATTATTTTGCACAATGCTGTGAATAAATTAGAAATGTAAAGTGCAAATGCAGTAAAATGTGAAACATATATTCAGTGTCTTGTACTCAGATACCTCACTAAATGTAGAGTACTCAGATACCTCACTAAATGTAGAGTACTCAGATACCTCACTAAATGTAGAGATGTCTAACTTTAAAGTAGTTTTTAAATGGCTAGGCAAATAGTCTATAGTGCTGTCTTGAGCATTTCAGGAAGTGTCATCAAAATCTGATTTTTTTGTATTGAAAAAAATGTACAGAGTAAACTGACATAATGAAAACATGACAAAGCCATTTGACTAGTTTGTTCAGAAACAATTTTGTCATGACTTTTCATTTTGATGACACTGACACTTTGACAAGAATACTTGCTTTTGAGGAATGAACTATCTATTTTGAGCAAGTGACGCGCTTTTGCAGGTTATCAACTAGGTTTTGCAGTTTGTACTAATTGTTTTGAGAAATGAATTAACTGTTGTGCAGAAATGCACTAGTGTTGTGAGAAATGCACCAAAGCGACTGAGAAAAACTGTAATATCACAGTTTAGTTTTTGTTACTGACTTGATTAAATTCTTCCTAAATTAATCAGGTGATTTACAATATATAGTCCAAAGTAGATAGTACAGAATAACTGGAATAACTTGTTTCTTTTTTCTTGTGTGTGTGTGTGTGTGTGTGTGTGTGTGTGTGTGTGTGTGTGTGTGTGTGTGTGTGTGTGTGTGTGTGTGTGTGTAAGTTTTGTTTACTTATAAAACAGCACCATCTGCTGATCATATAGGCTAGGACAACTCAAGTCAGCAACAGTGAGTCTATTTCTAGGCACAGAAAGAAACATGTAAAACTGAAGAACACTGCAGGGCTACGTGAGCCCTATGCTCTTCTACCCACTCTTCACTAACTGACTGTGGCCTCCAAGAATACAACAACAAATTTGCTGATAAAAGAGCAGTAATTTCCTGATAAATAAATAAATAAATAAATAAAAAGTATCAAGCTCAATTCCTTGAGGACCACAGCTCTGCATAGTTTAGCTCCAACCACCTCCAACTCACACTGCTTTATAGTCTCTGAACACCTTGACTATTTGGATCAGCTGTGTTTGATTAGGGTTGGTGCAAAACTGCAGAGCTGCGGCCCTCCAGGAATCGAGTTTGAGAACAATGAATAAAGAAAGAAAGAAAGAAAGAAAGAAGGAAAGAAAGAAAGAAAGAAATGGAGAAGAGTGTACATACAGGACAGAACTGTCTGGCTTAGTGAATGGGTTTTTTATTTGTAAAGCTTGGTGGTGAGGTACACATACTAGTACAGGTGGTGATGGCCATCCATTTTTTGCCCATATTTCCTCTTCACATGACAATGAAGTTTTGAGATTTAAATCATCTTTTGTGTTCTGTTAGCTTATTATTATTATTATTATTATTATTATTATTATTATTATTAAATAAAATTGTGAATACATTTATATTTTCTAAAACATTCTGTAAGAAATCTTTAAAAATATCGATTAAAATGTAAAATACATGTACAACAAAAAATTCTGTTATAGCGTGAAGGTGTATGTATCATTTTATATAAGATATTTTTCAAAAACCAAATATAACGTTACCATTTTATTAGAATATTTTACGTCAAACGGTGAATTTCTTTCCTAGCGACTTTTATTTTAAAAGTTGGGGGTCTTTTATTATAGCTGCTGTTTACAATTGTTTACTTCACAACACTACAACCTCATTCAAGTATACAGGTGCTTTAACATCGCATTGATGTCTCGTTTTAAAAGAGGAGCACACGTGGACTCCAGAGCAGGATTCAGACAAGAGAAGGAAGACTGTCCTGTTCCGTATGGCTTACTGAAAGCTGCTAGAAAGAGCGGGCAGCTCAATCTGTCCGGGCGCGGTCTAACCGAAGGTAAGTTAACGTTACTGTAACGGTAACAGTCCTGGAGCAACACTTCAAACACACTTCAGTGACAAAATGTTAAACTTTATGCAGTAACTATCATTTGAGGCCTCGGAACAGCACATAACAGATATAAACGTTGACTTCGACGTGATTTAAATTCCAAAGATGTTTCTGAAAGAGACATCTGTCTCCTAAACTTTGAAATGTCGTGGCTTACCGTAATAACAATAATTGCTGTAGGGGTAACGTTAATCATGATATTTTGGTGATTGTTATTAATGGTATTTGTTCAGTTCCTGCTAGTGTATGGAGGTTGAACTTAGACACACCTCAGGAAGCCAAGCAAAATGTGTCTTTTGGAGCTGAAGATCGGTGGTGGGAACAGACTGATCTGACCAAACTGCTTCTGTCCTCCAACAAACTCCAGAGCATCCCTGATGATGTTAAACTTCTGCCTGCCCTGGTGGTCCTTGATGTAGGTTTCTCTATTCTATTCTATTCTATTCTATTCTATTCTATTCTATTCTATTCATTAAAATGAATATAAAAATAAACAACTAAATATTAAATGAAATTACAATAGTTATTAACAATTTTGACTCCCCAATATGTAGATATGAATTGTGGTGCATTTCATTGTTTTTTATTTATTTATACGACTCTTTTTTTTGTTTAGCCTTTAATTAAAAAAAAAGAAAAAAAATATGTAGTGTGTGTGTGTGTGTGTGTATCGATGTATAATGTCAAACACATTAGAATATAAAATATATTTTGTATATGTTCTGTTAACATAATACAAATCACTTTATAATTAGTAATGTCTATTTCAGTTAATTTGGACAACTTTAAAGGCAAATTTCTTCGTATTTAGATATTTTAGATTCCAGGTTTTCAAGTATTGTATTTCATCCAAATATTGTAATTTTCTAATATAACATAATTGAAAAGCTTATTTATATACAGTCAACTTTTTTTTGTATAAATGTATAAATCTCAGATAAATGTAAAAATTGAAACTTATGACTGGTTTAATGTTTTAGATCTCAGTTGCACAGGAATACGCAGGATAAAATATTAAAACATTTCATGAAGTCTAGTAGAATTTGTATAGTAGTAAAAATTAGTAAAAATTAGTAAAAATTTTTATGGTCTAAATGTATTTTCTTTCTATTTCTGTCTGCCTTTTCCCAGATCCATGACAATCAGCTTAGCTCGCTGCCAGATTCTATTGGAGATCTAGAGCAGCTACAGAAGCTGATATTGAGGTACTGATGGAGATGATAAAATGTACAAAGCGATATGTTAATGTTTATAGTGTCATAATACTGAATGTTTTCTGCAGTCACAATAAACTGACAGAATTGCCTTCGGGTGTCTGGAGACTCACAAACCTGCGATGTCTCCATCTGCAACAGAATCTCATTGAACAGATTCCTCGAGATCTAGGGCAGCTGGTTAACTTGGATGACCTTGTAAGTGATTTATTAAAGATTTCTATCTGACCAATAGCAAACTCCAAATATTTTTACTTTTGTTTTTTTTTTTGTTTTTTTTTTACATTTTATATGTTTTTGAAGGTTTTTGTACACTCACCAGAAATACAGTATGAATACAGTATGATTGCTTTGATATATTACGTAATGACTAATCTTAATTATTAGCAAAGATTAGTTCAGTTTTTACTGTCAGATGATACTTCAGAAGTCATTCATAGTTAGATGGTTTAGTTTTAATGAAGTCTTGCAGTGTATAACAGGGCTTTAGACTAACTTTTTGCATTGGTTGCACTTGTGCACCCAAAACTTCGACCCTTGTGCATTTAACATCGCAATTAAATAAATGCTACCCATATAGGCCTGTGGTTCTCAAACTATTTTCACCAAGTACCACCTCAGAAAAAATTTGTCTCCAAGTACCACCATAATGACCAGTATTAAAATACAGTAACGTAGCAGGCCTAATTAAGCAGCTTTAACACTGTACACTTCAAAAACGAGGCAGATTAATTTCTATTATTATGAATATTTATTGGTTTCAGCCACCTTAAACATTTTAAATAGTTTGAACATTAACACTACACAAATTAAGATGTGCTCCTAAAAGTGAATTAAAAATGGCACTGTTCTTAAAGTAAAAATCAAAACGTAGAAATGTTCCTCGGACATCATGATATAAGCTGTATGTCATCATATTGATACTGTATGTAAACTCTTTTTGATCAATTTTAAAATAGATGTTGCATGTTTATATGACTTAGTTGTATATCTTTGAAATTATATCTGCTTACTGCGCATTAGAGCAGGCTTTGTGTGTCAGAAAAGCAAGTCATTAAGCCATACATGTCAACAATGAGATATAAAAATACGGGATATGCCCCCAACGACCGTTACAAATATGGGGAGGAAATTAGCTTCAAATGGTAGAATGATAACAATCATTAAAAAATAAAAGGTTTAGCCTACCAAAATCAATTTACTGATCACATCGGTATTATCATACACGTCAAAGGCTTAAAAGTGTGCTAATTTTTTTTTATCTTTGATTATTCAGCGATTCCTGTAACACTAGAAGGAAGTCTGTGTACCGCTAGTAGTACGTGTACCACAGTTTGAGAGCCACTGATATAGGCAGTATTTACTTGTAAATGATTAACCAACATTCTACCCATTTTTAAAAAAATTACAGAAAAATAAAGCTACATTTTTCATTTGCATTTTCAGCTTGACATTTTTAACATTTTGAACTATGTAAAAAGCACTAGTTTAACCTAAATTTTTTAAAGTTGATGCAACCCAAAATATCTGACAAAGTTTGGTCAAATGAATTGATATGAGCATTCCTAGTTTGTGTCTACTGAACCACAGTCGGAGACTTTTTAAAAATGTATTTATTTTTGCCCTCAATAATTATTTTAATAATTATCGATTTTAGTCGCACCCTTGAGAAATTAGGTCGCACATGTGACAATTGGTCACACTCTAGAGTCCTGTATAACATTAAACATGTATTTACTTTCATTTTCAGTTTAATGCCTTTTCCTGCTTTCAAAAAACTGACCCAAACAATGGAAGTGTATTAAATAATTTTAATGTTAAATTTAAAGGAATCAAAAAGGATGCTGTGAATGACATTACATGAAATATCTTCTCTCTCAAAGGATCTTTCCAACAATCATCTAATAGATATTCCAGAAAGCCTTGCAAACCTCCAAAATCTTGTGAAGTTGGATTTGTCCTGCAACAAGCTCAAGAGTCTTCCTCCTGCCATCAGTCAAATGAAAAGTATGTTTTAACCATAAAGGCTAGCTATGTAATTCAAAACTTATTTTTTTGCCCAATAACCAACAAACTTGACCTAATTATTACTTAACTTAACCTTAACCTTATTTTTTTAAACCTCAGACCTGAGAATGCTGGACTGTTCCCGAAACCAGATGGAGAGCATTCCTCCTGTCCTGGCTCAGATGGAGTCCCTTGAACAGCTTTACTTGAGACACAACAAGCTACGCTTTTTGCCTGAACTGCCCTGCTGTAAAACACTGAAGGTAAAAAGCTGTAGAACTAGTTATAGTTGTCATGTATAGAAAAAGTCTAACACCAAGTTGTTGATGTATATGAAGGAACTTCATTGTGGAAATAACCAGATTGAGGTATTGGAGGCAGAGCATCTGAAGCACCTGAACGCTCTGAGTTTGCTGGAGCTCAGAGATAATAAGGTGAAGAGCCTTCCTGAGGAAATAACCCTACTGCAAGGCCTGGAGCGCCTGGATCTTACTAACAATGACATCAGCAGGTGCTAGACATATGCTTGTTGTATCCTGTACTGTAAAATATTAAGTGTGGAGCTGTTACGTTCTGTTTAAGATTCCACTGGAGAACTAAATCATCATCCAATACAGGAGAGCATTGCACTATGTTTTTGTAGGTCGCCACTGTAAATTCTGAAGATAAAGCTAACCCAAAAGTGAAAATGTTCTCATTATGTACAGTATAACATAATAGTATAATAACCTTGGATAAAAATCTTACGGTTTAATGGTTTCAAATATCATGGCATTGTGATTACGGTCCAAAATAAGTTCTTTTCAATCTTCTTCAATCTTCCTCTGGGTTCTTTTCTGGGTAAAAAAAACAACAACGTTTCCCCGCATTTAAAATATTTTTGACCAGTAGCTTTCAATGTAGAAGTTTTTTTTCTGCTGAAGGCACTTGCCCTAAAAAAAACGAAATACAATAGTTGTTGAAAAACATGTAAAACAAACAAACCTTACATGTTCCTTAGGAACAATATAACAGAAAACTTTGGTGGTTTCAAATCCTTTGAATTTTCCAAACCGCGGTATACTTTGAAACTGTTTATTGACCCATGCCTACTGTCACATTGTTGTAAATGTAATGATAAAAATAAGTCACATTGGGGCGTCAGTTAGATTTTATCATGTAATTTAGAAATAATTCAAAATATTATTGTGATAGCCCTAAATAAAAATGACATGTTTACTAACCGGGGGTGTCACGGTGGCGTAGCACGATCGTCTCACAGCAAGAAGGTTCCTGGTTTGAGCCTTTGCTGGGTCAGTTAACATTTTTTGTGTGGAGTTTGCATGTTCTCCCCGTGTTCGCGTGAGTTTCATCCGGGTGCTCCAGTTTCCTCCTCAAGTCCAAAAACATGGTATAGGTAAATTGGGTAAGCTAAATTGTCCATAGTGTATGTGTGTGAATGAGTTTGTATGGATTTGTCTAGTGATGGGTTGCAGCTGGAAGGGCATCTGCTGCGTAAAAAATGTGCTGGATAAGTTGGCGGTTCATTCCGCTGTGGCGACCCTAGATTAATAAAGGGACTAAGCTAAAAAGAAAATGAATGAAAGAATGTTTACAAGCATAAAAAATTGTATTTTCATTCTCTTGTTTCGTAACGAATCACTATAAAAGCCTTAATTATAAAAACATCTAGCCCAAGAAAAATAATGTGTGTTTGTTTGAAATGTTATAAAAATACCATATTGAATTATATAATTAGTGCAATTATACAATTGACGTCAAGCAAACAAAAAAAAAGTTGCAATACGTTATTTTTGAAAAGTATGTTTAAAATGCAGTATTGATTGTATGGATTGATAGGTAGGTAGGTGGATGGATGAATAAAACGGGTTAGTCAAAAAATGGAAAGTGAATATGATTATTCTGATAATATCCAAAAACAATGAAATTTCTGTTTGTTATTCATAATTTTGAATGTAATTATGACATTTTTCAAATTATCTTCTGGAGAAGAAAGAATTTCATATAAAAATCTTTGTCTTTTGTGAAATAGTCTGCCGTGTGGACTTGGCACATTACCCAAACTGAAGTCTTTGTCCTTGGAAGGCAACCCACTGAGGGCAATCCGCAGAGATCTCCTGACTGTGAGTGTTGAACATATCACGGCTGTAACTATTTTTTAGTCCATTTTTGTTCGTAATCTCAGGGGTGCAGCAGAAAGTTTTACACCATCTTCTTTGCAGAAAGGCACTGGTGAACTCCTAAAATATCTCAGAAGTCGTGTACAAGGTATGTCTATAACCAAGCCATGTTTGTAGAGTTCTTCAATATGATACAACCTAACCCCAATATGAAAATCGTGATTCCTTGTGATTCCTTAGTGCTTGGTATGTGAGAACAAACCTCATTGGTATTTGTGAAAGCTCAAATGTGCTTGTGCGAGAGGAATGAACTTCACTTACTTTCCCACATCACAATAAACAATTAGTCTTGAGCTTCCCTGACTAAATTTTCTGTAAAAATGGTTCACAATGTTTGTACGTGAATAAAATGGTATATTCAATCTGTCACAAAAAGTAGTCATGTCACTTAACAAGACTTGAATTCATGTGAATGACTGAAATGCTCTAAAGTCAACATGAAATCTCAATTTGCAATGTTTATTTTGCTAGCACATGTTGTTAATCTTACTGTAAATTAATGAACATAAAAGCAGTTTGTTTTGGTAATTACTCATCAAAAGCTCACAATTTGCTTCTGCTCTGGAATGGCAGTCCTTTTCTGATGTCAGTTTGATCGCTTGGGTGAAATATGCTTAGCCACATGCCCCTAACTGTCAGTTTGCTGACAGTGCAAAACTAAAACCCAGCCCCCTATTCAATATTCTGATTTTAGTTGGAAATGTGTCATCACACTGAAATAAAACTCAGCAGCAACTTCTGGTTTACACAGACTTTAAAGCATCAGATTATTGGTTAATTAAAAAGATTTGATTTGAAATGTATTTGTGTGGGTGAATCAATGATAGAATTTTATATTGGAGGTAGTTATATTGGACCTGTTTTTATTTAAAAATAAAGTAATTAAATAAAATAACTACATTTTGTTACCATTGTGGAATTTTGCTATGTTTTAAATTGTAGAGCCACCTAACGGAGGCTTGAAAGAAGAACCAAAAACAGCAATGACTTTCCCAAGTCAAGCTAAAATTAATGTACATGCCATTAAAACGCTGAAAACACTGGACTACAGGTAACCACAAACATTTTCATAAGTGACTTTTTAGTATAGAATTTTTCCATGTTTAATTAAAAAAATAAATCCTGTTTTCTTTAGTGAAAAACAAGACGCATCGATTCCGGATGATGTGTTTGACGCAGTTGATGGTAATCCTGTGGCCAATGTGAACTTTAGCAAAAATCAGCTGACGGCTGTTCCACACAGGTACGCCACATTAGAGGTGCTTTAGAGATTTACTGAACACTTATAATGCTCAGCATAAAACATTCTCCCATTTCCTGCAGAATTGTGGATTTAAAGGACACTCTGGCAGACATTAATCTTGGGTTTAACAAGCTAACGACCATTCCGGCGGACTTTTGTCATTTGAAACAGCTGATGCATATAGATCTCAGGTAATTTTACACTTGCTTTTAAAGCTCCAATGTTCAACGTGCAATTTTACAAATTCAGTGGTTCTCAATTGTTTCTAAATGTCACACCAGTAACATTTCACAGCCTTTAATGTTCTTTAAATATTTCACAGCCTTTAATGTTCTATTGTTAAGATTGCACAAGAAAATTTATCTGGTTATCTGGTCGATCTTAGCTGTGTACAAGTTTCAATGAATGAATGAATGAAAAAAGAAATCTGAATTTAGATGTTTAGAGTGGAATAATTTGAAGCAAATATATTTAAATGAGAATACACTTGACAGATATGATGTAAATGTGACGTTTTATCATAATTTACTCATTAACCAATTATACTGAACTAATGTTTTGTCTTTAGGAACAATTTACTGATCTCACTGCCAATGGAGCTGGAAGGCTTAATCAAACTGCGGAGTGTTATTTTGTCTTTTAATAGGCAAGTTTTATTAGTACCATCCTTCCCTTGTGCATAAAATGTCCAGATCTATTAAAATAGTTTGAGAGGGTGTCTTCACACTTGGCAGGCCGGTTAGATTAAAAGGATCTTTGGTGCAACTGCTCTCTTAGTACACTTCATTTAAGTAAATGTGAACGCTGCCATCTGAAACATGCTGTGCACCAAACAAATTTAAGAAACAGAAATATGATTGCAGCCCTGACCAAAGACGACTGAACAAATAAAAAGCTGGATGTGACATCACAACTGATATTTATCATTCATCTAGCAAGCAGTGCTTTTTTTTTTGTCAACCAAAATAACTGAACTGCAAGTTTGAACACGCCCAAATTGTGTTTATTACTCCTATTTTGATGTTTTCTGTGATTTAAATGGTTATGTGTATGTATCTTTAGGTTTAAGTCATTCCCAGAAGTGCTGTACCGAATCCCATCTCTAGAAACCATTTTAATCAGCAGCAATCAAGTTGGAGGCATTGATGCTGTCCAAATGAAGACCTTAAGTAGGCTGTCAACCCTGGATCTGTCCAACAATGACATCATGCAAGTGCCACCGGAACTCGGCAACTGTACCAGTCTGAGGTGAGGGACATTTTTTTTCGTTGTGATTCTATCAAACACTGCAGTCAAAATGCAGTCAAAAATTTTATCTGAACGTAAATGAGGAAAATAATTGTATTTCCAAGTGGACAAAATCTCTGGAAACAGATTAATCTAAGCATGTCGAAGGTTTTGAGCGTTTTCGTTTAACTTATGCGTGTGATTCATCTCGTCTTTAGGGCTCTAATGCTTGATGGGAATCCTTTCCGTAATCCAAGAGCTGCCATCCTTATTAAAGGCACAGATGCTGTCCTTGAGTATCTCCGAAGTCGTATTCCAACATGAAAATGAAAGACAATTCAGCCGTCTTTGAAAAAAAAAAAAAACTATCAATTTGTGTGCCATAACACTTTATTTGCACTTCTTGACCGTATATACATATTAAAAAAATGAAAAGACACGATTTATCTTCTTCCACTTGTTTTAATTAATGAGACCTGCCATTATACCCTTCAAATAAATAATTATGAATTTTGTACTGATTTCCTTTTGAAACCAAACGCATGCTTTGTAATAAAATTAAGAGAACAACTGAACAACAAAAACATGCTTGTTTTAAGTTTTGTAATTGGTTTTGAACGTTTCAATTTTTCATTACAAAAGCACCAAATAAATGATGACATGAAAGACTTTCTAGCGTTAAATGGTTTGTAAAGGACCACAGGATGACCAGTAGTAACAATAGTGACATTTTTATTATTTGTACAATAAAGATACATTATTCAAAACACCTCTTAGATACTGAAAAAATTCTGTACTCCAAAGCCGAAAATGGCTCCATTAACATCATTGGACGTTCTTCTCCTTTTTATACAGGTTTGTCATTTTAAATTTTTTAACTAAAATGTGTTTGTTAAATATGTACATATTTCATCTGCAAAATGCATTCTAGACACAGAATATATGTCGTCAATTACATATTTGCGGTAATACAGAAAAAAAAAAAGTCGGAAGGAGTAAACTTGCATGTGCAAAGAAATGATATGATAAATCGTCACTAATTCTTTGAAACTAAATCGAATAATTCCTTCTAGATATAATAACTTTTTGCACAAAAAATTAAACGGCATTCAAGTTCAGTAAGTCTTAATACTGCAGAAAGCTTTAAGTACATTCACGATCTATCGTAATAAATTATTTAAATGTCTCCATTCATAATTATTTACATCAATACTGCAATTAGACTGAATAGTACCATATATTACCTTTTTATATTCAATAGGTCTTTAAACACATACAAAAATGACCATTTGTATATTCATATACATATATAGGTTTATGACACAAATTCACTATTACTTGAGAAAGAATTGTACATATTTGTTTCTAGTGTTTCCTTCCTTCACAGTCTTGCTCTCTGTCCATACATTGGTTTTGTGTTCTTTATAAAATTTAACAATTTGAGCATAGCTAATTATATATCAATATATTAGAAATCATCTGAAAACATTTAGTAAAAATAATCATTATTATTATCAAATGTTCTTTCACAATAGTATTTGAACAGTTAATTGCATCATCATCATCATCATCGTCCATCCGTAATAATCTTTCTCAAAAGCTAAATGCAGTGGCTGTTGTGTGTTGTGTCGGGCTCAGCTCTCGTCGAAATGCTACATTTTTAGCAACATTTTTGATACATGCCCAGGATTTTGGGAGGGATTTTATGGCACTGTTTGATCACAACGATGACTGGTTTAAAAAATAAATCAAATAAAAAAAGCCAAAAGAAATGAAACGATTTTCATGTAAAAAAACAAAACAGTTTGTCCAAAACACAAAGACCCCTATTAAGCATCCTAATAAAACAAGTTTAAGAGTGAAAGCATGCTCTAATCAGTAAAGCCTTACATGTGTACACTGTATCTAGTCCGTTTTATTCATTATGAAAGGAATTCCCTTTGTTATTCTGTTTAAAAAAGGATTTAAAAAACCTTAAAGCAGCATACAACAACAATGCGACTGGAATTAAGCTAGTTTTCCCCCATTTAAACTGTAGAATGTGAAGTAGGTTTTTATACATTAATTTGTGTGCATGAATTTTCCTGGCACCAAACAAAAGCTGTGCGAGAATTTGAAAAACGTGGAAACGTATACGTACTTTACCTAGCGAATGAATAAAAATAAAATAAAAAAATCCATCAATGCCAATAGAGGGTGCTGCAGGAAAACCCTAAAGACGGGATAAATATTGCTTGGGAAATATCTTCTGTCATCTGATTTGTGCAAATACAGAACGTTCATCAAGATTTAAAAGGGGACTTTTTTGTTGTTGTCGTTTTCCCTAAATCGTAACCCTTGTTAAATTTGTTATAAAAACTGGTGGATGTGTTAGAAAAGTCATCAGTGTGTCTTTCATTCACATTCTATGCTCTAATCACATTTGAGTTGTAAATGTATATATTTACACAAGGCATTTACAAAGTTGAGGCAGTGTTATGGTGGGTAAATGTCCTTAAAAGCAGATGTGCTTTCATGCTCAAACCGAAAAGCTGCTAGGAAAAATAGGTACAAAATAATACGCCATATAAATAAGCAGGAAAAAGAAGAAAAAAAAATGCACCCACTCACAGCCACAGGCTGAGATAAAGAATATCAACAACATCAACCAAAGATTTCAACCAATGTATGTCGGTGCAGAATGTGTAAGCCGTATATAACGTTATTAGATATGTCCTCTAGTGTACATTTGGCACTGGAATTTGCCATTGGTCCAGCAATTGGCAAAATTCTTCCTAGATAAAAAGATGATGTACAAGTTCCTGTGTTCCGTCGGGGTGAGAAGTCTTTATAAGCTATAAAAATATTTATATTGTGCTCTCCCTTAAGATTACCAAGTCCACAGTTTTCGGGAAATTCTTCAGAAGAGACACTGCGGTTTCATGCTCCATGTGTAAGAAACTATGTCCGTTGGCCTGCAATGCAAGAACGAAGCACATGGTAAACAAAAAAGAACCGGGACAGGCAGGAGAATGGTGGATAGAGGGAGGGAACAGGCACGGCAGCACAGGAGAACAGGCCTCGCTCAAAAAGGATCAAGGGGGAGAGAAAAGAGAGATGCACACGCCACATCATGCTGTAAAAGGAGAGAAGGTGGAAAGAAACTGGTCTTTAGACATTCTGGATCTGTAGAAGGAAAAGAGAAGGAGCTGCTTTCTTTAGACACTGACAGCAACACAAAACCAGACACAGCCCTTCAACAATCACAGTTTCTTTTCTTTCTTTTTTGCAAAATATGTAAAATAGCAATTTAGATTAGGATAATGCTGGCTGGGCTCTTCTATTTGTGCATTTAATTGGATATATACACAGTTTGCTGTTGTGGTTTATAAATATTTAGCGTTACTTAATACATTTACAGTGTATATAAATACTGCTCAAATTTGTATATTCTGTAAGGCTGCATTTACACGGCAGATCTTGATGGTCAATTCTAATTTTGTGACTATGCGATTTTTATTTATATTTTTATTCCTGACCTGCTTACATCAGCTTTTTAAAAGTGACTCTTATCCGATTGTCTGTATTTACACAGCACATGGCAAAGGCACAATAACCAGGAAAAAAGAGCTGCCATTGACTGACAGCTGATAATAAAAGAGCACTCTTTTTTTTTTCTCCATTCCTGTTTTTAATAAGCAGAGTTATTTTTTAAAATTCTTTTTGACAAGTTGTTTTACTATAATTTATGACAGAAAAGTTCTAATTTTGCCAACTTCTATTCTAGGCCTTTTTAAACCAATAGGCATCTTAATGTAATGTCCATGGTGTGATGTATGCAACAGTTTTATAATAGTTATGGTGGCTTGAGAAAGCCAACATACTGTTATAATACATAAACGTATTATTCTTCTTCTGAGACTAAATTCTCTATGCATCTCCTCCTAGACCATTTATACTACAACCACCAAACTTACTCCAGACTGGTCTGACTCGAGTTGCTATATCTTTTCTAACTGATCCAGTTTTCCGAAAACTGATCCGGAAAAATCGGAAAAGTCCAATTGACTTAAGTTTTTGACCTCATAACTTTCCACCAGACTGTCATATAGACTTGAGGTTGGGCTCATTTAACCCAGACTACCAATCTGCCAATCACTGATGACCATTTAACTTTCTAGCCACACCCTAGCAACCACTTACGGCACCTTAGCAACTGTCCCATTGACTTCCATTGTAAAAACTGCCATTCACTTTACATTGGACAAACTAATAACATATCAATTCATGCTAACAATATGCTAATCCATACTAAAAACATACTAACATACTAATTGTTCTAGCAACACGCTTATTCATACCACAGTAAAATTATACTAGCAACAAGCTAATTCAGACTAAATTCATGCTAACAACATGTTAATTTAGGCTGGAAACTGCCTAGCAACCACTGAAACACCTTAGCATCTGTCTAGTTACACCTTAGCAATCAACAGTCTAGCAACTACTTCAAACTTTCAGACTAGGCTTTCTCAAGACACCATAAAGTTTGTAAGCAAAATTTTCTAGTTATATTGGTTACGTTGCGGATGTTGTTTTCTGTCTCTCTCTCTCTCTCTCTCTCTCTCTCTCTCTCTCTCTCTTTCTCTCTCTCTCTCTCTCTCTCTCTCTCTCTCTAACATGCTTAAATACTTTGCTTTTTTTGTCCTTATGTATGAGATTTAAGGTTTGGTACTGAAGTCGGTTCCAAAATGAGTCATCATTCACTATGGTTTTTACTGATGCGTGACTCGAATTGACAGGTAAAAATCCGATCTACCTGCTTACACTAGACAAAAGGGCACAGATCCGATTCATACCGGATAGATTTCCGCATATGAACAAGGCCTCAATCTGATTTGAGTAAATCGGAATCCATGTGTTTTTTATTTTTTCTGCTTACACAGACATGGGCCATATCCGATCTGTGCCACATGCCAAACTGGAATTGAGTCACTTGAATCATGCAGTGTAAATGCAGCTTGATTATAACTTTTAAATAAACGAATACTTGGATATATTAAATTAATAAAATATGATAGGAAAGACTTTCACAATAGAGTTTTTTAAGGTTCATAGTGATGCTTTTATTGTAAATGATCATGTTTTTATATATTATATATTTTAATACATTATTATATATTTTTAAAAGGAAAGCACTTGTGCTGGTTTGTTTTGCTGAAAAGTCATGAATCAGAAAATGTGCTCAGAATTATTCTGTTTCATTTTAAGTAAAAATACATTTATGAAATGAATAATTGACGACAGACCATTCATTTATTAGAAAATAATGTACTTCTGAAGTAATGAGTCTGTCATGAAACCAAGTGACACTGAATTATTATTTTCTAATAATTCAACAGACAGGAGTCAATTGTTACGCTTATACTATGGTTATCAAACCTAACTGCCAAATATTAAAAATACACTTTTTATAAGATGGAGATGGCATTTCATCAGCTTCTTGAATCCTAAATTTATTTACTTGGCTTTTTTTTAAATTAAAAATATGTACATTTGTAAAGCTATACTTTATATCTTTCCAACATATTACAAAAAAAAAAAAAAAAAAGTTAACGCTTATGTGAGGTGTTTCTAAGCGTCTGTGAGCAGGACATTACTTTTTTCTATCTTCTGGCTGCAATTTATTT